AACTGGAGGTTGAAAAACTAGTGATTTTCAAATTCAAGTTCAACGTCCACTTCAAATAGTCATTACCACTGAGGCAGTTCAATAACTAGTGACATCAGCCCAGCTAATTGACAAAATCCTTCATACGCTACAAGGCGATTTTGAGTTATTTTATATTACAGTTGCCAACATATGAAGGTTTGCTTCCTATTTGTCGACGGAAAGCTCAAACTATGTTATGGGACACCCCAAGTGGGATCCATGATGCAATATAAATTCCGTTCCATAAGAGTGCTCCAGAGTGAAGTGTGGTTGTAAAATGCTGAGTGAGTTAGACTCAGTCAAAAGATTTCTTTAGTAGGAGACTTTTTAAATAGTTCACTAATGTGCTTTGTGAGGCTAAGAAAGGAAGTCATAGAAAGTAACATTTTCCAGACTTGTTTAGCTCGTGTTCTAGGGAAGTGTTGATGTGCACCATGATCACCGGGTTAAGAAAGCATTTTTTCACCTCAAGACCATGAAATGAACAGCAGCAGAGGTATCCAACACCACTCTTCCTTACCCTCACCCCCACCAACGCTCTGGTGTTCAAATAGAGACTGTTGTGGCTTGGTGTTTTCTCACCGCATAATCTCGCTCTTTGCATGCATGGGCTCTGGCTGTGTGAAACCCTATAAATCAAGTGCTCCTGTGTCCACAGGAAGGAAAAGGAAGCATTGTGTGTCTGCTGCAGGCTAGGCACTGTGCTAAACGTGATGTTAGTCCACATATCTCTGAGAATAATCACAGGAGGTGATGATTTTATCCCCATTTTACAGATTAGGAAGTTCACACAGCTAGTAAATGTCAGAGCCAGGATTCAAAGTCAGGTGTGTCTGGTCCTTTGCATCATGACACTTATTGAGGCCAAAGGCCTCCTAAGAACCCTATATGAGTTTCTTTTTTTTTTTTAATTTTTAAAAAATGTTTATTTTTGAGACAGAGCAAAAGACAGAATGCAAGTGGGGGAGGGGCAGACAGAGGGAGACACAGAGTCTGAAGCAGACTCCAGGCTCTGAGCTGTCAGCAGAGTCCAACATGGGGCTTGAACCCATGAACCATGAGATCATGACCTGAGATGAAGTTGGATGCCTAACCAATTGAGCCACTCAGGCACCCCGAACCCTAAATGAGTTTCAATGAGAGGGAAAGAATTCCCTCTCCCGGAAAAGCTTCTTAGAGTAAACGTGTTAAGGAACAAAAGGTTGAGCCCTAACCCCAAATAAGGCGATTCCCCAAATTCCCCCATTTGGTAGAGCTGCATCTGAACTTGAGCTTCAGCTCTTTTGATAGCCACTGTTGCTTCCTGATGGCAGACAGTCCACTAGCACTATACCATATAGGCTCCCGGTGTAATCTGACCTTCAATTTAGATGTGCTCTCCTCTGGCTTTTACTGTGAACATAAAAGTTCCTACATTTAAATTTTTTTAAAAATTTAAGTAGGCTCCATGCCCAGCGCAGGGCTTGAACTCACCACCCTGAGATCAAGAGTCGCATGCTCTACCCACTGAGCCAGCCAGATACCCCACTCATTTAAACAGCTGATGAATAAGTGATAAAAATGTAGAAGGGCTTCAGCTCTTCGATCAACTTCTGATAATAGCTTAGGCTTTTAATAATATTCTCAATCATCAGGGAAAGGTTATTTTAATTTCTTCAAGGCATATTCCATTCCTTCCCCCAGATTACCCTTCTGTATTTCATCCCGAGAGCAGAAGGACTACATGTACTGGACTAGCAAATTGTCTGTTTTCAACAATTTTACCTCGGATAAACCACAGGATGTAGGCTCAAGTACTCCTGACCTCTAGCTGGATGAGACAAAGCATATGCACACATTCCTAAAGCGTTTCTCATTTTCTTTAGAGTAACTCTGTGGACAGAAAACGTAATAGACCTTTAAAACAGAATGCCAGAATGGTACAGTAGAAAAGCTATGAGTTTGGGGGCCAGACAGCCCTGAGTTTGAATATCACTTGCATCTCCTGCGGACTGTGATCCTGAGAAAATTACTCACCTCACTGGGCTTCAGTATCCTCATTTATAAAATGGATATAACCACATAGGTGATACACAAGGACCAAAGCAAGGCGTCCCTAAACTGGAATTGCTTTCAGAATGAGATTAGGAGGGGCGCCTGGGTGGCTCAGTTGGTTGAGCATCCGACTTCGGCTCAGGTCATGATCTCACGGTTCGTGGGTTCGAGCCCCGCATTGGGCCGTGTGCTGACAGCTAGCTCAGAGCCTGGAGCCTGTTTCAGATTCTGTATCTCCCTCTCTCTCTGACCCTCCCCTGCTCATGCTGTCCCTTTCTCTCAAAAATAAATAAAACATTAAAGAAACAGAATGAGATTAGGTCTCAAGAAAGCATGTCTAAAGCTTTAAGAAATAAGTCATTTATACCAAATCAAGTATGAGCAAGCTGACTCAAAAATTTGAGATACAGCTTTAAAAAAACTAACAAGAGAAATGCATAAATCTCTGTAGTCTTAAAAGGCTTTCCCTATAAAAGCCCCAAAGTTAATCTATTTGCTTTCTTATATATCATTATCCCAGGCAGATGTGCTACTAACCAGCTAACACGAATGGTATGGTCCCCTGGCATTTATATTTCTCCATGTCAATTAACAAATTGATATTCTGGTTTATACATTGGACCCTTAGGAGTTTGTTTAATATGAATCAATCTCCCTTTGGGATACTCCCAGAATTAAAACTCTGAAGCAAGGGACAGCTGGGTGGCACAGTCAGTTAAGTGTCCAGCTCTTGGTTGATCATGACTCAGGTCATGATCTCATGGTTTCGTGAGTTCGAGCCTCGCATGGGGCCCTGTGCTGACAGTGCAAAGCCTGCTTGGGATTCTCTGCCTCCCTTTCTCTCTGCCCCTTCCCCACTTGCACTCTCTCTGTCTCTCTCAAAATAAATAAATGAACGTTAAAAAATAAGTAAATAAAACACAATTCTGAAACAAAATTTTTAAAACATTAACAAAAACCTAGTACTGCTGAGTATGTAAGGAAACAGCACGTCTTCAGGCCCAGCAACTCTTCTGGACAAGAATTTGGCAATGGGTTCTCAAAATGCATACACACTTTCACCTAAATAATCCTGCTGCTGGGAATTTAACTTCAGGAAACAATCACACAAGAAAAAAAAACTAAGAATGTTAAGGAAAGCACTGTTCATAGTAATTAAAAATTAGACATTTTGGGTTGTTTTTCTCAATGGAGCACTAAATAAGTCAATTATGGCCTCCACCACACAGCATGGGACTCTGGGGCACCTGGGCGGCTCAGTCGGTTGAGTGTCCAACTCTTCATTTTTAGCTCAGGTCATGGTCCCAGGGAAGTGGGATCAAGCCCCACATGGGCTTCACACTGAGCACAGAGCCTGCTTAAGATTCTCTCTCTCTCCCTCTACCCCTCTCTCCAATTCATGCACTCTCTCTAAAACAAAAATAAATATTAAAAATTTTAAAAATAAGGGCACGTGGGTGGCTCAGTCAATTAAGCGTCCAACTCCAGCTCAGGTCATGATCTCACAGTTCATGAGTTCAAGCCAGCTCAGAGCCTGGAGACTGCTTCTGATTCTGTGTCTCCCTCTCTCTCTGCCCATCCCCCACTCCTGCTCACTCGCTCTCTCAAAAAAGGAATAAACAAAGACATTTTTTAACTAAAAATATTTTTTAGAAAATTAAAAAATAAAAAATAAAAAGAAGGATGTGACTCTATTGACATGACAAGACACGCATGACATACACGAGGTGAAAATAGCACATGTAATATCTCATTTGTACAAAGTTGTATATTTTTTGGCACCACATGCAGTGTTTCCCTTGTATATTCTGAAGAACTTTATATCCCCATGAGTTCTACCATGGTCTACGAAACGCTACGTGTTATAATGATCTTTGGAAAATTCACAGTGGTTTTTAACGTAATGAATACTCTCGACGCCATTGTTTTAACATTGCTTACCCTAGCATTCTCCAAAATAACCTCGTCATAGGATCCTGCCTTCACCTAACACCTTTTAAAATACAAAGCAAAAATAAGGGGTGCCTGGCTGCCCCAGTTGGTTGAGCGTCTGACTCTTGATCTTGGCTCAGGTCATGATCTCACAGATCGGGGGTTCAAGCCTGAGTGAAGCTCTGCTGAGCCTGCTTGGGATTCTGCCCCTCCCTCTCTCTGTCAAAATAAATAAACTTAAAATAAATCGAAAGAAAATAAAATAGAAAGCAAAAACAAATAAATTATGAAGCAACTAGTTTTCAGAGAAACCTTTGGGAAACACGGGCATCAGAGAGCTATTAGATTAACCACCAGAATGTTAATAGTCAGTTTGTATGTCTATTTAGCCACCCAAGATACATACCACTTCACAAAAATAGCTACTTACAAATGTAAAATGACATGTGTAGAAACAATAAGGAATGCCCTATGTCGAAGACCCACTCCGTTCAATGCTAAGGTCTTTATATACTCTGAAAATGAGGATCAAATGACCTGAGAAGAAAGCGAGCCTGAGATCACGTGACTTACTTAAGCTCGCCCAGCTAGTAAGTGGCCAAGCCTCAATCTGAACCACAGGTCAGCGTGAGCCCAATACAGATGCTCTTCTCACTATATATACTATACTCTGTCTCTTCCACAACCTACTCTTCCTGTAAGGTCCCACTTGAGCAGCCGGCCAGTCTGCCAACCCCAGGCAACACCCCTCTGGTCTCTCATGTACTTCTTTCAACCCTCGGACGAAGTAAGACAAAGTAAATTACCTGGCACAGTGCCTGAAATGTGGTAGGTGTAATACAGAATTCCTTTAATGATGGCCCTCTGAATGGTTTGAACTTACCTACTTTCCTGGGCCATTGGCTAAGTTATATAACTCTGATGATCAAAATTAAGGCGTTAACATTATTGAAGTATATGATAGTGATATACTTGATCGGAACAAAAGTAAGATGATGGCATGGAATACTTACTTCAAATCGCACAGAGTAAGTGTAGGTTACGTTAAACTTGTCTGTGTCTTCTTGAGGAATTTCCATAGGGGGTCCATTACAGGTTAGGTGGTCTTCACCTGAATGCTTATAGCTAAGAAAAGAGGGAGGGGGGAGGGAAGAGAAAGTAATTTTTATACCAAACTGCCATTGTAAATTTCTGCTTCATGCCTAATCCGGCATGTAACAGTAGCAGGCTGAAAAAATATGCCCTTCATTATATTTCATATTTAAAACTCTTCATGATTTTAAATACTTTTGTTTTGGGCCACCTGGGTGGCTCAGTTGCTTAAGCACCCAACTCTTGATCTCAGCTCAGGTCTTGAGTTCTAGCCCGCTGGGCATGAAGCCTGCTTAAAAAGAATACCCTTGTAGAAGTACCCTACGACCCAGCAATTGCACTACTAAGTATTTATCCAAAGGATACATGGATGGAACCAGAGGGTATCATGCTAAGCGAAATTAGTCAGTCAGAGAAAGACAAATATCATATGACTTCACTCATATGAGGAATTCAAGATACAAAACAGATGAACATAAGGGAAGGGAAGCAAAAATAATATATAATATAAAAGCAGGGAGGAGGACAAAAACACAAGAGAGTTCTTAAATACGGAGAACAGAGGGTTGCTGGGGGGGGGGGGGGGGTGGGCTAAATGGGTGAGGGGCATTAAGGCATCGACTCCTGAAATTATTGTTGCACTATAGGCTCACTCACTTGGATGTAAATCAAAAAATGAAAAAATGAAAAAAAACACCCTTGCTTCTAAATGTCCCCAACACTCAAATGAGAGTCAAAAAACTGCCCAAGGCATGAACCAGGTGTCCCCTGCTTTTCCGAAGCTCACTTTATGCCACTTTGCTTTTATGAAAGACATACATTAGTACCTGTTTTCACTAACTGAAAGAAATCCGAAGAGGATTTTCACTTTTCTGAAAAATCAAAAAGAGCATTCAGCGTTGGCTTTGGAGGGAACCAGTAGAGAGGCAGCTCCCGCCCCAGCAGCGAGAGTGGCGCCGCCCAGCGCCTTCTCTGGGAACTACACTCAGCATTTCTACATCAAGCCCCCAGAGCTTTGAACTGTGTCTGTGAGCATCTGCCCTTTATCTTGGTTTATTTTGTGCATCCATAGCAAGAATGTGCCTTAAGGTATCAGAAAAGCCTAAGAGAGGGGAGTTGGAGAGTCTGGGAATGCTCACAAAATTTTCCATATAATGGCAAGTGCTTCTTCGCTTTTGACATTTCGACTTCCAAAAGCCTTTAGAGGAACGTTCTACTTTTGGAGAGCAGGGGGAAACGTGTCCCTAAGAACCTTCTCATGGGGCACCTGGCTGGCTTAGTCGGTAGAGTTCATAATTCTTGATCTCAGAGTTGCAAGTTCGAGGCCCATATTGGGCGTAGAGATTACTTAAAAATAAAATCTTTAGGGTGCCTGGGTGGCTCAGTCGGTTGAGCGTCCGACTTCAGCTCAGGTCATGATCTCACCGCTCCTGGGTTCGAGCCCCGCATCTGGCTCTGTGCTGACAGCTCAGAGCCTGGAGCCTGCTTTGGATTCTGTGTCTCCCCCTCTCTCTGCCCCTCCCATGCTCATGCTCTGTCTCTCTCTGTTTCCCAATAATAAATAAATGTTTTAAAAATTATAAAAGGGGCGCCTGGGTGGCTCAGTCAGTAGAGTGTCTGACTTCAGCTTGGGTCATGGTCTCAGGGTCTGTGGGTTCGAGCCCCATGTTGGGCTCTGTGCTGACAGCTCAGAACCTGGAGCTGCTTAGGATTCTGTGTCTCCCACTCTCTCTGCCCCTCCCCTCCTCATGCTCTGTCTCTGTCTCTCTCTCTCTCTCAAAAATAAACATTAAAAAAATTTTTTTAATTATAAAAAAAGAAGATGTGGTTTATATATACAATGGAATACTACATAGCAATGAGAAAGAATGAAATCTGGCCATTGGTAGAAATGTGGATGGGACTCGAGGGTGTTATGCTAAGTGAAATCAGTCAAGCAGAGAAAGAAAAGTTACCATATGTTTTCACTCATATGTGGAACAGGAGAAACTTGACAGAGGACCATGGGGGAGGGGGAGGGGGAAAAATAGTTAAGGAGAGAGAGGGAGGCAAACCATGAGAGACTCTTAAATACGGAGAACAAACTGAGGACTGGTGGGGGTGGGGAGAGGGGACAAGGGGAGATGGGCACCGAGGAGGGCATTTGTGGGGATGAGCACTGGGTGTTATATGGAAACCAACTTGACAACAAACTAATTTTAAAAAACAGAATAACCTTTTACTAAGGTAAACCAGAATTGGAAACTACCAGTGTTCTTCACCATTTGGAGCCTGTTTAATGAAATCTATAGGCCCTTTTCCCCAGAAAAATACACTTCAATAAAAATTTCCAGAGTTTATTACATCAGGGTCCATATTAAAAACTCCTAATTCAGCCCTCTCCTTTCACAGATGATGAAATTAAGCCTATGACAGATCAAGTTAACCTACCCATGGTCAAAAGCTTGGCACAATACATTCTCTAACTATTCTTTCCCCTTTAGGCATCATCATTTAGCTTTGGCTAAAGTAAAATAGGGTAGTAGCTTTAAAAATAATGAAGTCCAGGGGGCATCTGGGTGGCTCAGTCGGTGAAGTGGCCGACTGCAGCTCAGGTTCATGTGTTCGAGCCCCTCATCAGTCTCTGTGTTGACAGCTCGGAGCCTGGAGCCTGCTTCAGATTCTGTCTCTCTCTCTGCCCCTACCCTACTTGCCTCTCTCTCAAAAATAATAAACATAAAAAAATTTAGTTAAGAAAAATACTGAAGTCTGAATCATTTCTACAAACTTTAGGTTCACGTCCAAAATGGAACCAGGAGAGACGAGACTAAAATCCAAGTTTCCTAATTCCTTGCTCTGTGTTCAGAAAATTATACCATATGTGCCTCCTTTAATATACTCCACATAAGTTTCAAGGGACAACTTCCTCATCTTAATATTTCAGGTTTTGTATATTTTTCCCATAATGGACCATGATTTTATACATTGTGTGTTATATTCCCCTCTTGACCTGTCTTAACTGAAGAGTACTAATTTATCCTATAGTGTCAAAGGATCTTAGAGTTGGAACATGAAAGCTCACCTGTTCAGTCTCTTACCCACATTACATGTTATTCAAATGCTAACTACAGGTAGAAGGGAATAAATCTATTTTATAAACCCACCTACTTGGGTTTTTTTAATTTTTTGTAATGTTCATTTATTTTTGAGACAGAGACAGAACATGAGGGGAGGAGGGGCAGAAAGAGAGGGAGACACAGAATCTGAAACAGGCTCCAGGCTCTGAGCCATCAGCACAGAACCCAACACGGGGTTCGAACCCACGAACCGCGAGATCATGACCTGAGCCGAAGTCAGTCGCTTAACCGACTGAGCCACCCAGGCGCCCCAAATTACCTATTTGATTTTTCAAACTGTATGTCTAAGGTGACACCACGTGTGTATCCTAAAATTGAAAATTATAGTTGAGAACTTCCATATTCTGAATTCATTTTTAAATGAATGGAGCCGATTATAAAAGATACTCTCTAATTACCTTTGGAGCTCAAGTCGAGCGGAAACCAATCTTGCAAGACCCCAATTTCTTCCACTTTCCCTGTGATATGTAATAGTAATATCAACGTGGTTGATGAGGAAGTAAGTATTACTTCTGTTGTATTCAGACTGTGAAGAGATAAAAGAAATTTTAAAGAAGTTTGAACTTTTCTTAGAAACTAAAACATATAAAGTCTGACCATGGAATAAAAATGAGATACACGATAAGAATGTTGACTATATTATCTATGCTTTTCATCTCTATAACTTACTTTTTTTTATAACTGGAAGCTCATAGCTCTTAATCCCCTTCATCTATTTTGCCCACCAGTCCTCCCTCAGAATCTTCAGAAGGAACCATCATTGCTGACGTCTTCATCTTGAACTTCCAGTCTCCAGAACTGTGAGACAGTGAATTTCTGTTGTTTTAAGCTATCAATTTTGTAGTGTGTCCTTAGAGCAGCCCTAGCAAAGGAAGGCTCTGCGATATGAGCTATGCAATCACACAGCCGTTTACTAGCTACATGACCATAGACAAGTCATTTAACCTCTTGGACCCTCTGTTTCCTCTTTTTATTTTTATTTTTTAGAATTTTTTAAGTGATTATTTATTTATTTTGTGTCTGAGAGAGTGCATGTGCAGTGGATTGGCAGAGAGAGGAGGAGAGAATCCCAAGCAGGCTCCACCCTGTCAGTGCAGAGTGCCATGCAGGACCTGATCCCATAAACTGTGAGATCATAACCTGAGCCAAAATCAAGAGTCGGTCGCTGAACAGACTGAGCCATCAAAGTGCCCTTCCTCTTTTTAAAAATGAGGACAATAGGGACACCGGGCTGGCTCAGACGGTACAGTATATGACTCCTGATTTCAGGATTATGAGTTTGAGCCCCATGTTGGGTATAGAGATTACTTAAAAAAAAGTTTTTTAATCAAAAAAATAGGATTGCTCATAGAATTGTTGAGGATTACATAAAATCACATAGAGGTGCCTGGGTGGCTCAGTCGGTTAAGCATCCGACTTTGGCTCAGGTCATGATCTCACGGTTCGTGGGTTTGGCCCTGTGTCAGACTCTGTGCTGACAGCCATCTCAGAGCCTGGGGGTTGTTTCGGATTCTGTGTCTCCCTCTCTCTCTGACCCTCCCCTGCTCACTCACACTGTCTCTCTCTCTCAGAAATAAATAAAACATTAAAAAAAATTTTTTAACGAATCATGTATGTACTTAGTGCAGTGCTTAGTACAGGAAGCCCTGAATAAATATTAGCTGTTACATCACCCAAGCCCTTCAATCTTCAGAAAATGACTCCAAATGAGCCTTGTCAATTACCATATTGAGTAATCTGCAACATGCAAGACTCCCAGATTAAGAATCATGGCTCTGCAAATCCCAGAATTGAGAGTGACAGCCCTGAAGGCATTTTAGTGATCCTTTAGTGCAGTGATGACAGACAATAAGAGTGATTCTACTGGGGGCGGGCGACTGGGTGGTACAGTCAGTTGAGTGTCCGACTCTCGATCTTGGTGCAGGTCATGATCTCACAGTTTGTGGGTTCAAGCCCTGCATTGAGCTCTGTGCTGAGGGTACAGAGTTTGCTTGGGATTCTGTCTCTCACTCTCTCTGCCCCTCCCCTGCTGTGCTCTCTCTCTCTCTCAACATAAATAAACTTTAAAAAATATTTTAAGGGGGTGCCTGGGTGGCTCAGTCAGTTAAGCGTCCAATTTCAGCTCAGGTCATGATCTCACCATTCATGGGTTCGAGCCCCATGTCGGGCTCTGTGCTGACAGCCAGCTCAGAGCCTGTAGCCTGTTTCAGATTCTGTGTCTCCCTCTGTCTCTGACCCTCCCCTGCTCACGCTGTCTCTCTCTCTCTCAGAAATAAATTAAAAAACATTTTAAAAAAATATTTTTTAAAAAAAAGAAGAGTGCCCCTTTAGGGAGTATCACAATCAACTTGGGGTGGAGAGTAAGTACTGCTCACGGTGGTTCTGTCCATTATTGCAAAGAACTAGAAACTAGAAAATAAGACTATCCATACAGTTGAATGAAATATGGCCTAACCATATAAGGAAATGGAATGTAGCTAGCAGACTGAGGTAGGTATACTATGTATCGGTATTGAATGTTCATGAGCTGTACTAACAGAAGCAGCACAAGCAGCACAGCACAGTGGTTAAGGATGTAGACTCCATAGTCAAACCACCTAGGTGGAAAGCTCAGGTATGGCATTCACTAGCTTGTGTGATCAAGCTGCTTAACCCCTCAGTGTCTCGGTTTCCACACTTGTAATGTAGAAATCATAACAGTACTTACCTTTTCAATTTCATTTTAGAGGTAGAGGGTGAGCGGGGGAGGGGCAGAGACAGAGAGAGGGAGAGAGAGAATCCCAAGCAGGCTCTGCACTCAGGACAGGGCTCGGTCTCATGAACCACGAGATCATGACCTGAGCCCAGGTGAAGAGTGGGACACTTAACGGACTGAACCACCCAGGTGCCCAATAACAGTACTTATCTTCATGGGTGCTGTGAGGATTAAGTCAACTTCATGAAAAGCCACTCAACCACTCTCGGACACAAAGGATCCAACCTTTGGATCAGCTAAATGACTACAGAGAATTCTTTATTCTGTGCTCTCATAGCACAGTCACTCTCATATCTCAGTCACTTACCACATGGAATTGTAGTCCATGTACTTACACGTTTACATCCCCTACTCAATTGTTTTCCCCAGTAGATCACCGGGCTGAGAACTTTGCTTCGTTCATTTATTCATTCACTCATTCAGCAAATATTTTTGAACATTTACTATGTGCCAGGCGCTTCTTCTTAGCCATGTCCTAAGAGCTAATATCCTATGGGGGTCAAAAACATGCAAGAGGTAGTTTGGCATATTGCAAAGGGAAGAGAATTTGGATCAAAAACCATTGGGATGCAATTTAGAATTTGCCACATATAGTCTTCTGTATGTCAGTCTTTATTCGCCTTAGTTTTTTTTTTTTTTCACATAACAGGAAATGAATTTTTTTTCACATAGCAGGAAATGAATTTTTTCTTCTTCTTTTTTTTTCTTTTTTTTTGTGAGAGAGAGGGCTCAAGTGAAGGAGGGCAGAAACAGAGAGAGAATTCCATCGGGGCAGGGTGGGGAGAGAGAGAGAAGCGGGCTCTAGCTCAACCAATGCGAGGCATGACCTCATGAATGGTGAGATCATGACCTGAGCCAAAGTCTGATGCTTTGACCGACTGAGCCACCTAGGTACCCCCAAAATAAACTCTTTTAAATTAAAAACAAAAACGAAACATGAGCTGACAAGAAAGTAAGGAACTATCATGTCAAATTCTAAGAGAAAGCAGGAAGCCAGGGAGGTAACCTGGGTGAGGGGGCGCTGATGCTGCTATCGCCCTGATCTGGGTAAACTTGAACTTCAGTTTGGGCAGCCTCATGGAATAAAGACGCAGGAACTGGAGGAGGGCCTCCCTGGTGAGAGAGCTCTGAAACCACCCATCCCTCTCAAAACCAATACCCTCAGGGTAAAGATGAACAGGAAGTAAGCCTTCTCCCCACCCCCAAAGACCACAGGGAAGATGGCCTTGGTGCTAAACAGAAAAGGGGAGTCGGGGAACTCTCCTTGAACAGTTGCGGCCACAGGCCAGCCTTACATACATGCGCAGTTTGGAGTCCCATCACCTAAGTGGCCCCAGGAAATTCAAGTCATGAATTTGCTTTCCGGTGGTCCCAGGCTGGCAGTTTCCCAAAAACCCCTGGGAGAAGTCAATGAAAATCCTCTCTGGAGGAAAGCACTTTGACCCCAGGGCTCAAAGAAACTCCACAAACAATCGTTAAGAGCCATGTGTTATGTCGTCAAAATCGTGAAGCGCACAAGGAAAAAAGTCATCATGAGCAAGAACCGGCAGAAAAAAACCTGCAACCGTTTCAGATCCAGGAGTAATCAGAAGCAGATTTAAAATTAACTTCAAGAGAAAAAATAATAAATAAAGCTTAAATTAAGTTAATTACATTTGTTATCCTTAAAAAAAGGTAAAATACAATATGACAGCACGTGCATAAAATAGAAACATATAAAATAATGACTTAGCAAACTTGCCAAAGAACAAAATAAAACTTGCAGAAATAAGGGGCCCCTGGGGGCTCAGTTGGTTAAACGTCTGACTTCGGCTCAGGTCATGATCTTGGCAATTCGTGGGTTTGAGTCCCCATGTAGGGCTCCAGTGACAGTGCAGAGCCTCTTTGAGATTCTGTCTCTCCCTCTTTCTCTGCCCCTCCCCTACTTGCACGTGCTTGCTCTCTCTCTCTCTCAAAATAAATTAATTAAAAGCTTTTTCAAAACTTGCAGAAATAAGAAAAATAATTACCGAAATTAAAAATTCAATGCCTATGTTCGGGTGAGCACAAGCCCCGCTTCAGATGAGCTCAAGCCCTACTTTGGTTAAACACGAACCCCACTTCAGGTGACCTCCATTCTCTCTCTCTCTCCCCCCCCCGCCCCTTGCTCACTTGTGCTCCCTCTCTCTTAAAAAAAATTGATGCCTATGTTTAATTTTTTCAGTATTTTTGAGATCTGTTTATGGATGAAATAACTTAGTAATTCATCACTTACATACAACACCCAGTGCTCATCACAAGTGCACTCAATACCTGTGTTTATAAGAGAAGAAACAAGTGAAGAAGAAAATTTATAGACTAGAAGATAGAGCAGAAGAACACAGCACAGGAAAAAAAAATGGAAAATACAGAAAGGAGGTTAAGAGACATGGAGGAGAAAATAAAAACGTTTAACATAGGTTTAATTGGAGTCTGAAAAGGAAAGAAGAAAATATCTGATGATGGCTGAGAATTCCAGAACTGATAAAAGGCACCAATCCAGGGGCACCTGGGTGGCTCAGTCGGTTGAGCATCCGATTCTTGATCTGGGCTCAGATCATGATCCCAGGGTCGTGGGATCAAGCCCAGCATCAGTGCAGAGCCTGCTTAAGATTCTCTCTCTCGATGGGGCACCTAGGTGGCTCAGTTGGTTAAGCCTCCGACTTCAGCTCAGGTTATGATCTCATGGTCTCTGGGTTTGAGCCCCATGTCAGGTTCTGTGCTGACAGCTCAGAGCCTGGAGCCTGCTTCCCTCTCTCTCTGGCCCTCGCCAGCTCATGCTCTCTCGCTCTCTCAAAAATAAATAAATATTTTAAATTTTGTTTAATTTAAAGAAAAAAATAAAAAATAAAATAAATAAAAATAAATATCACGGGAGCCTGGGTGGCTCAAGTGGTTATGCATCCAACTCTTGATCTCAGCTTAGGTCTTGGTTCAGGGTTGTGAGTTCAAGCTCCACATTGGGCTCCGTGCTGAGCACGAGCCTTCACAGACCTAAATGCCACCAATTAGAAAGCATCATTATTTTATGTGCTGCTAGGAAAAAACATTGCCAATTAAACGTTGAAAAGTCATCATCTGAAAGAGACACATCTTGATTTCATAAATGTTAAAATACGGGAAAATATGTTTTAGAATTTAAAAAATGTAGGATATAAAAACAATAAGCAAAGCATAAAATAATACAACAGAACTGAGACCAAATGTCATATCAGTAAATGTAAACGTGTTTAACTCACCTAATAAGAGGAAAAGGGTTTTCAAAAGACACCACAAAGCAAAACTCAACAATAGGTTGTATATAAGAGACACATGTAAAACGACGAGATTCTGGGGTGCCTAGCTGGCTCAGTCAGTAGAGCATGTGACTCTTAATCTCAGGGTTGTGAGTTCAAGCCCCACGTTGAATGTGGAAACTACTTTAAAAGCTTTAAGAAACAATAGCCAAATCATGGAAAGAGCCTAAGTGTCCATCAACTGACGAATGGATCAAGAAGATGTGGTTTATCTATACAATGGAATACTACATGGCAATGAGAAAGAAGGAAATCTGGCCATTGGTAGCAATGTGGATGGAACTCAAGGGTGTTATGCTAAGTGAAATAAGTCAGACAGAGAAGGACAGATACCATATGTTTGCACATATAGGTGGAACAGGAGAAACTTAACAGAGGACCATGGGGGAGAGGAAGGGGAAAAAATAGTTGGGGAGAGGGAGGGAGGCAAACCATGAGAGACTCTTGAATGCTGAGAACAAACTGAGGGCTGATGTGGGTGGGGGGGAGGGGAAGGGGAGTGATGGGCATGGAGGAGGGCACTTGTGGGG